TCCTTCCTTCCTTCCTTCCTTCCTTCCTTCTGTATTTAAAAACAGTAAGTGAAATGAAGCAAAGAATCTGGTGGGTACCAAGGGAAATGTCCAGGGGTACACTGGCGTCATGGGCACAATGCTAATATACTCAGCCAATTATGTGTATTTTTCACCTCTCGCATAAGGGTTTAAGTGATGAGCTTTCTAAGATTTTGACCTATCCTTTAAGCCTAAAGTGGCAAGTATCATATTGGATCGATCAGATCAGAGAGATCATTGAAATGTGTTTGGAAGAGCTATGGAAACTTGGGAACAGGTTGAGAAGATGGGCATTTGTCCATGAAGTCACTAGGGCTTAGACCTGACTCAATGGCACTTAAAGAACTGTTTCTACTATTTACACATATATTAAGTAATGCAAATTGAATTCACTTCTGATTAGAGAAAGCTTTTATTCACCTGCAGAATGCTAATGCTTCATTGGACTCCACTGATTAAACAATCTGTTACTGAATAAATTCTGCTTAGCAACATAATTTGCACCATTTTTACATAAAAATCCCTCATGGATTTTCACAGATGATAATCACCATTTAATTTATTAGTCTTACCATTTCTGTATTGCCCAAAGTTGCTGAAGTTTCTACAGTAGCCATAATAGGAATGAAATGTAATCAAAATAAGCTGAATGTCATGAATAGATTTTTTTTTTCTTTTAAGAAAAAAAGTGGTCCAGCTGCTGTTCCAAATCCTTTCAAAGGCTTTGGAAACTTTGGTTGGATGTAATGCACTACATAAATATTTGTTTCAGAATTATGCTCCAGAGATGCCTTGGGCTTAGAGTCCTACCTCCTTTGTTTTGCCAGAGTTTCAGAAGCTCACTGAATAGAATTTAGCTTGCAATTGCACTTGCTGGTTGACCCTGATTTCTTATATCAAACCTTATACCAAAACCAAAGGCACATGCCAATATGATGTTTTTTTATGTATTTATTTTTTATTCCTTCATAAATATCTGCCTTCCCTTTAGAATAAAATGCAGAGAGTGTGCAGTTTGGGGCAAGTTACATCCTGTCAGCATTCCTTCTGCAGCTCTTGAGAGATGGGCTTAAACCCTTAGACCTTTTTCATGCTGGGGATTTCAGGTGCAAAATAGATGCTTTCAGCCTTGCAAATGCTTACAGTATCCATTACACCCCTTAAAACTCCTGAATTCTTCCTTCCCATTGCCTAGTAAGGCTCTTGAGCCAAAGGAAGTTGTACACCCTACTTAAGGGTTCAACGTCTCTGCACAGAGAAGCCTCCTATAATTTTATCCTTGCAAAAACAATCTGTAAGGTATGAATTAACAGACAATGATGGGCTCGGAGTCACATTACCAATTCTCTGATCAAGTAGGAACTTGAACCTGGGTTTTGCCAGTCGTGGTCTTAACCAGTATGGCATGTTGGCACTGACTGTATTATGCTTGAAGTAAACCAAGTCTTAACAATGACTTCATTGAATTTATGTCTGCTTGGCACTTGCTCATTAAAAGAACATCTGGGGAACTCAGTCCATCTTATTGTGAATGTCATTTGTGATTAATGTTCACGAAGATGATACAGCAAAGGCTGTCAAAAAGAGCATGCTTCACTCTAGATATCTTTAGCACATAAAAAAGCAGGATACAAAATAAATCTTATCCCAGATTTCTTTTCAATTCTAGTATACTTTGTGCTAACCCAAAACATGATATAAATGCAACTATAATTCAATGTGCAGAGTACTTAAAGTAGGAGGACTTGACAATAGATCAGCAATAACATTTAATGTTCTAGTCTACTTCTCCAGAGTACCTCCTCTGATGATAAAAATGGACAGAAATCATATGTGCAGCCCTAAACACACACACACACACACGTTATATTGGCAAGGATGATTTTCAGGAATACAAAATTATGGAGAAGTGTTGGTGTAAACTAGTTTTAGCTATATTTCCTTTTCTTTTTATCTCATGCCTTAATTTCTGTGACTATTTCTTACCCCTTTATTTTGTATAAACATTGCTACATGAAAAATGGAATTGTGCAACATAAGTACAGGGAGAGAGAAACCCAGAAAAGTATGGAGAGATACAAGCATCTCTACTTCTCCCAGCCAATCAGAAATGGTAAGAAACTGCCCTGTATGACTACATTCCTATGCATAACTATTTGGAAATAGTTTTGAGTATATAAGATTCTAAAGTAATTCACTAAACTTATTTTCACATCCAGAAAGTAAACAGCAGAAATCAACGGATGTTGATCAGGAAGGTGCTTCACATCACTTAACATTACTGAACCATTTAAACTGGTATTTCAATGCCAATTGGCAGCAGCTTGCCAGAATTTTCAGGGAATAATTTTTCTAATCCAATCTGGAGATGCTGGAAAATATTTCTTCATAGATCACTTAACTCTTCATCTAGCAAAGAAACCAGATAAGTAAACTACTGGCATTTTAATTTAATACCAGAGAGATTGTGATTTATGTATTCAATAAATATATATTGAATTTTAGTAGTTTCTGCAACTTGAAGCACATTTTTTTAAAAATTAAGAAAATGTGTTTTATATTTTCCAGATCCATTTCTGTAACTAGATCTGCAGAAAGAGGATATATGATGCCACCTTCAGTGAAAGAAGAACACTACATTATATTTCAGTTTATTATTTTCGCAGTAATTGAATACATTTTGGTTTGTTTAAATGTATATCCTATCCTTGCTACATGAGATTCAAGAGAAGGTATAGATGGAGTTCCACATCAGGGTCACCTAGAAGGAATCTCAGAAGTAAAGCAAGACCTTCATGTATCCATTTATTTGCTACAGCAGAATAACATGGCTATCTATTCTTTTAGAAATGCTTACAACAGAAACTCAGCCATATGAAGCAAGCATCTCATTCTTTCATAAACAAATGCCATCTTTCTGTCCAAATGAAAATGGCAACATAATTCCTAAGGATAGGAATCCACTACAATTTATTTAAAGCATGGATTATTATGAGAAATTGTGACAACTCCATTTCCTCCCTCCACCCAAACTTCTTGGACCATTTTATTAATAGTCTTCATAGTAAACAGAAAAAGATTTTAAAAAGCCAAAATGTCAGAGCTGGAATTTTGTATAAAACCACAAGAGCTTCTTCATACAACTGCTTACCTGGCAGACATTCTCCAAAACAAGGCAAGCAATTTATTATACACACTCTCCTTCTCTGAATAAAGACAAAAAACCTAGACTGTCTAAGCTACTGTACATTTGAACTGGTCACAATATATTTCATAGGAACCCCATTCTTGGCCCCACTAAGATATACTAGGTGGAACAACCCAATATGGTGAAGGAATTTCTTATACATATGCAGAACCAAATATGTATAAGCACGCCCGATATGCATTGAGGTACACTATACCAGGGTTCACAAATAATGCCAAAAATTACATTACATAACTTAAAAAGTAAATTACAAATGTACACAACAATATACTCCACAAAATTGAAATAATGTCAGTTTCAGCCCATACGTCCTTCCCTTGGGCTACTGTGGGAAGGGTGGCCAAATTCAGCCTCTTGGTACACTCTAAAATTGAGTTTGAAGTGTTCATCCTAGAATAAAGATGCAGTACGAAGCTTCTCAGGCTCCTTTTCTTTAGGGACCAATGCCAGCACCTGTCAGCTTACATTGGGGTGCTTATTACAGTGTATGTGTGTGTGTATAGCTCATATATACTCAGACGGACTGTCCCTTTACCATTTTTTAAAATCCTGCCTGCATTTCGTTTTTCATGTCTCTCTGATCACTGTTGATAAACATCCCCTCCCAGAAGTTTTTAAGCAACTAAAGTGGACTTCAGGCTAAAAGGCTTATACCATAACACATGCATTATTCTTTAAATCGCCTCCGATGCTGCTGTTGCATTGTGAGGGATGCTCTTTGTAATCATACATGAGCAGGCATTTATTTTTAAGTCATCTTCCATCCTGGCATTGACCAGAGCTGATTAACTTCAATGAAGTGTTTGCTCTTTATATACCTGCTCTTTATATAAACAAAAATGTAGTTTGTGTGTGTATACAGTACAAAGATGTATCTCCATAAATCTTAAAATAATGCACGCAATTCTTCTTCTAGAATGTCCACGCTCTGCCTTATGGACTGTGAATTTAGCCACTCTTAGGACAGATTCTTTGAACTGCGGGATCTGGACTGCAGGTAAAGCAGTTTCTGATGACTGACTCCAGGGCCACTGGATAGGTAAACTTGAGAAATATTACAGTACATCGATGCCGAGGTTTGGCTTCACCTCTCTCTTTTCCCCTTACTGAGAAGGATGACGCTACCAAGGAGCTTCCTGGGTATTTTTCTCAGTGTCACTGAGGCTACTGAACTCTCGTAAAGTCAAAGTGTTAATTCATAACAATCAGAGCGACTCAACAGCGGTACCAATTATCTAGACGTGTGGTGAATTCCCCTTCCCCATAGTTACTCAAAGGTTAGACGGCCGAATACAGCGTGAAGAAGGGATTGGATTTAATGACCTAAATGGCTCCTTACAATCGTCTTTGATTCTACGAACTCGGTGGAATTTACTCCCAAGTAAGCGTAGGCAGAATTGCAATCCTGCTTATTAGGATTTTTGAACAAAACTGTCCCAAACTGGTGCACGTTTTAAAAAGCTGAATTCAAAATAACATGTTGTATAATTTCTTGCTATACAGCAATTATAAAATGTTTTCTGGCTCTCGGGAGAAGGTCCGATCGGAAACCATCGAATGAATAATCATTGAGGTGTTTGGTAACGTTTCAGAAACACGTTAAGAACAACTTCCCAGAACAGTCAGAAGAGGAGCATATCTCGCTAAGCTCATTCATCCCTATTTTGTCCCAACGCCTTCGCCATCATCCTCCGGAAGTAAAAGCTGCCGCAATGGATTCTGGGAGTTGTAGTGTTCTTCCTGTAACCTGCCCTGTAGATCCCTAGCGCAACAGACTAGCGTGGGAACTACTGCTATCCGTAGGCCGGTGTTCTGCCGCTAAGATGGCGGCTCCCTTAGTGTTGGTGCTTTTGGTGGCCGTAACAGTTCGGGCCGCTTTATTCCGCTCCAGCCTGGCTGGACTCATCTCCGAGAGGGTGGAGGTGGCGTCTCCTTTAAATGCCTGGAAACGAGGTGAGGCCTACGGATGGGGACTGGGGGTAGGAGGTCCGCTAAGGGCATGTCCAGCAGCTCGACTCCTGGAAGAACTGAGTCTCGTCGTCTTTCGTGGGGCGTCGCGCTTTTTCCCCCGCGAGCCCTGGGGTGGTCGTGACCGAGCGGGCTTTTCGCTTGGGAATTATATATTGGCCAGCTTCTCCTTAGACTCAAGCCTGCGATCGCATGACGGGCTTCCACTTAGTCTCGAGAACACCTGGTTTTCTCGCCCCACAAACCGATGAACTCAATAGCCAGGCGGAGCTCACCCAGCCCGCTAGGTAGGAACACATCGAACAATAACTCCTTCAAACAAGTTCTTGTTTATCTACATCCTTCTTAAACTGCATCACTCTGAACTGCACACAGTTCTGGGCATTATCATCAAGAGCAAAGTAATATGACCGAGGGTGGACAGCACATAAGCTTCCTCACTAGCCATTTTCTAGCATTCTGTATATTCTGCTCATTAAGTCAAGGACGCTTTGGCTGCGTTGGCACGATGTGTTGTTGAGAGTTGGGTGGCATACAAGTTTAAATCATTATCATCATCAAGTTATTAACGGGGAGATAAAATGAAAATAAACTCCGTGTATGCTACATTAAACTCCCAGAGAAAGTTGTGTTTGGATTAATCAATCTACTAATCACATCTAATCTTGAGAGAAATATTTTACAGCATTATTATGGAACATAATTATATATACAGACAATATCAGGGTCCTCTTTATTGGAAGGAGGACTCAAAAAATAAGTCTTTAATCAGAACTTGCATTTATGTTATGTCATTTCATTGGAACATTCTCAATACTAAATACAGAAATCTAGGGTTTATCTCCATTCATATAGTACTTCCTTTTTTTATAGTATTTTTACTAAAGATTACAATTTACAACAATAAAAATTAATACAAACTAAAGAAAAAAGAAAAAATAGAAGGTGCAGAAAAGAAAAAAT